TCGTGGGGAGCCGGACAAGTGAGGATAGAAGTTTGGGGGAAGGGGGTACATACAGCTGCCACTGGGTCAGCTCAGCATGAGAAGGGCCAATGCAGGAACTGTGATGAGCACAAATTGAGTCACCAAGGCAAGGACCAGACTATGAAGAAACCACTTGAAACAGACACAGAATTGTTGGAACTGTTCCTGTTGAGGACAGAATGGGTGATTCCTTACTTCCTCCATCCTCTTCTTCCTCCTCTTCCTCCTCCACCTTCTTCTTTTCTCTGTTGATGACCCTGTTCCCCAATCTGCATTTCCTAAGAGTTTGCTGGCTTTCTGTTTTGCTATTGTTTTAAAGCTGATTTCTCTTAAGATAAATGTGGTTAACCATTGCAATTACTGTCTATGTGTATTGCGCAAATGTGCGAAAGACACAAGCAATATAGCCAGTAAAGGGGAGAGAGAAAAGGAGAGAGACACAGAGAAACATACAGAGCAACAGAGATGGAGAGACAGAAACAGGAAGACAGAGAGATAGAGACAGAGAAAGGAAAGAGATTCTTTTGGATTGTAGGGCATTTCCTGGCATAAACCCTCAGAATGAGCCAAAAAGAGAATTATTGATTCATTTTACATAACATCTCAGAATAGTAAGAAAACTTGGATCCAGACCTTAGACAAATGGGTCAGCAGCTGTACTTGGGGGAGACGTTATGATGAGCTGGAGAGGCTATGAGAAGTGGCCCCTTAACCACTTCCCCTTCCCATTGTCTTTCCCAGGGGGTTGGAAGGGAAACCCTCCTTCCTGAGGGAATTACTAAAGAGAACATCATGCCCAAAGAGTAGGACAGAGGAATGCTTAGGAAGAAGTGGATGGGGCCCAGCAAGGGAGAGGAATTTAGCATTTCCTCCTCAGGCCAACCAATCCCTCCCCACACCATTGCTATATGTACACTGGGCCAACACCTGCCTCTCTGTGACTTCTATCCATGGCTCCTAGTTGAGTTCTCTAAAGAGGCAGAGGAGAATAGCGGAAAGAACTTTGGAGAGAGAAGGTGAGGGTTAAAAATACTGGCTCTGTCATTTAATACCTGTATGACCTTGGTCAAGTTACTTAACCTCTGTGGGCTCAGTTGTGGGCCTCAGTTTCATCATCTGTAAAATGAGAGGCTGGCCTAAATGACTTAAGTTCCTACCAACTCTATAGAGTCAGTCAGTTAACAAGCATTTATTAAGCACTTACTATGTGCCAGACCTGATGCCAAGCACTAAGGATACTAAGAAAGGCAAAAAGCAATTCCTGCCCTCAAGGAGCTCACAGTCTAATTAATGGAGGAGACAACGTGAAAACACCTATGTATAAACAAGATATACACGAGATAAATTGGAGATAATCAATAGAGGGAAGGCACTGGAATTAAGAGAGACTAGGAAAGACTTCTTGTAAAAGGTGGAATTTTATCTGAAGACAAGGAAGCCAGGAGGAAGAGACAAGGAGGGAGAACATTTCCGGGTATGTGGGGCACCCAGAGAAAATGTTCAGAGTTTGGAGATGGATTATCTTGCTTTTAATCCTATACTATAACTATCTTAGTTGAAGGGTTGTCAGGAAGAACAGGTTAGACTGTAAGAAGGCCTCTGGGACTGGTTCATTTTTGTCTTTGCATTTCCAATGCCTCACACAGTATATGTGATAAATATTTGTTGATTGACTTATTGCCTAATTTTCTGTTTGGCCCAAAAGGAGAGAACTAGAAACAGTGGGTAAAAGTTGCAGAGAAAAAGATTTGGAGTGAACATAAGGAAAAACTTCCTAACCATTATAGTTCTCCCAACATGGAAGGGATTGCCTAGAGGAGCAATGAGTTTCCCTTGGCTGGCGTCCTTGTCAGAGACAATGTCAGAAGATGCCCTAGGACTGACGGACCTCTGAGGCCTGCTTCAATTGTGATGCTGCTTCCCCTCTTCTCATTTCCAGTTCACCTGTGGGCCAACTCGGCCCTGTCTGCCTCTCAGGTTTGCTCATAACCTTCCTTGGACGATCTCCTGCAGTGATACTGAACACTTCTCATTTTTATTGGGTTAAATCAACCCATCACCATGGATTATCAGGGTGCATCCTGTGAGCTCCTTGGTGTGGGCTGGGTGGGCAGAAGGAGTGACTGTTCTGTTCTTCTCCCAGTGCCTTTGGCCCCTGGGCCAACCAGTGGTGCCCCATTCTCCTTTCCCATTAGGCTCTGCTGCCCACCCCTCCTAGTCTAGGCAAGAAGCCCAGAAGGAGCACCTGCCTCCAAAGTTTCTTTTCTCATTACCTTCAGGTGGCCATCTGTGGGATATGTCTTACTTTCACTTTACTCTCTAAGTCCAATAGTTCTGGGTGGTTTTCTTTTACAATTTCTTGAAATACGGTAGCCAGATTTTTTGTCTTCCATGGTTTTCAGGGATCCCAGTGATTATACTCTCTCTTCCCATACTATTTTCTTGGTCAGTGTTTTTAATATTGGATACCATATAGGTCTTCTAGGTAGAGCCCTAGACTTGCATTCAAGAAGACCTGAGTTTAAATACAGCTGTAGACACTAACAGTGTAACACCCACCCCCCCCCCCCCCCCCCCCCCCCCCCGCAAGTCACTTAATTTCTCTTATCTTCAGTTTCTTCATCTGTAAAATTAGGATAATAATAGAACTTACCTCAAAGTATTGTTAGGAGAATCAAATAAGATAATATTTGTGAAGTGATTTGCAAAACTTAAAATACTTTAGAAATGCTAGGTATTATTAATATTATACAGTTCTAATATGTTCTGTTGCATCATTTCATTCTTGAGTTCTGTTTGCTCCATTCTTTTTTCGTTATTATTCACCACTAGGGTAAAATCCTGGGACTGGTTGAAGAAGCCCAGGAACTGATCTCTCCTGCCCAGGGACTCTAAGATGAAGACCATATTCCCTATTCCTGACCCCTTCCACAAGTGGAGCTATAGATGGGACTATGAAAGGGGGATAGGAGTGCCTTGGCATTGACTCTAATCCAGAATTTCCAGTGGTCTGTTGTTTGGTCTTTTTTGTCTATATAGGGGATTACATCAGTGGCCTTTTTCTTAGTTCATCTCATACTGGATTCTCTTTTTAATTTGGTACGGTCTTCCATTGTTCCTGAGGGATTCTAGAGGGAGCTAGGTTTGGCTGGAGCTTTTCTTCCAAGTCACCATCTTGATCTGGCCAGCTGACTACTAAGAGAGCTCTTCTCTGGGGTCTTTTTTTTAATTTTTGGCCTCAGTTCCTATTCCTAGATTGCCCAGACCCTCTTCTTTGGTATTCAGCCCTTCACTGCCTATCCTGGATCTTCATTTCCGCTGCCTGACATCTTTGGATTCTGGACGTCTTGTCTGGCTAGACCTATAATACCTGATGACTTTCTTCCTTGACTAATATTTTTGGGCTTGACCCTTTCCTTGTTGGCCTAAAGATAATTCACAGATGCCAATAACTAGAAGATTAAATAGGACATGATAATTTCATGAAAGTTGTGAAAAGCATTCAATAAATGTCCGTGGGAAGTAGAAAGCACTTTAAGCGGGGAATGCAAAAATGTAGTACCTACTGAATACTTATCAAACACTAACTGTGTGATGCTGTGCAAATCATTTAACCACTGCCTGCCTCAGTTTCCTCAACTGCAAAATGAGGATAATAATAGCACCTACTTCCCAGGATTGTTATGATAATCAAATGACATAATATTTGTAAAGTGCTTAGCATGGTGCCTGGTGTAAAGTAGGTGCGTAATAAATGCTTGTTCTCTTCCTCTCCCTTCCTATAAAGACATGGCCTGGAGGCTAGAATTATAAAGCAGAACTTCACTATCCTTCACAAATGAATAGGCATTGAATTCCTATATTACAGATAAAACCTTCAAAACATCTCAGAGAATTCAACCAATAAATTGTATAGGAACACCATCAAAGATAGAAATACAGTTCCCAGCCTCCTGAACAAAACTTTGATGGACAAAAATGTTTTAATGATCTTTTTCTTTTAAATTTTATTAATTTATTTTGATTTACCAACAATCACTTCCATATGCTTTTGAGTTGAAAATTTTTCTTCCCCTTTTAAATGATCTTTAATAGATGCCACTATGCCAAATACTCAATCTCCAAACTACATGAAACGAAAAGCTTTCAAAATATAGAGACCCAGTCAAGGGGATCTAATTTCTATGGGCACAGGAGGGGCACATCAACCTTGTCATCCTGGCTGCTACTAAAGATTTTGTCCATGATGCGTTCAATGAGCCTGCAGAAAGACGATAACCTTCTATCTCTATACTTTAAATGACAAAAAGCATTCATTTTATCCACACCTGCACACATTAGACAAATAAGAATAATTAGCAGGATCAGCAATTTGTTCCAGGACCATTTCCATTTGAACTCCATCAAAAAAGATGAGAATGACATTTATAAGGATGATGGTACTGATGATGATGGTGACGATTATAATAACTGACCCTTAAATAGCCTTTAGGACCTGCAAGGCCCTTTACCTACATCATCTGAGTTGATCCTTAGAATGAGGACTCTCTCTCATTATCTCCATTTTACAGATAAGAAAACTGAAGTTCAGACAGATTAAATGACCTGCTTAGGATCACACAGCTAGTGTCCGAGGTGTGATTCCAAGCCAGCTCTTCCTGACTCTAAGCCCGATGCTCAGGGAAGCAGAAAAATTGATGTTCAAACCCAGGCCCTCTGGCTCCAGATCTGCAGCTATTCCCAGAATACCCTACTGACCACACATTTTGAAATCACTGTCATAGAAAACAAGAAAGTGAAGTAGGGTAGGATGGAGGGCAGTGAGAACAGAGGAACCCAGCTACAAGTCAGATAGTTTACAACTCCACTTGAAGATAATGACTTGAGAATGAAGCACAAGGGAGTGGGGACTCAATTTATATTCAGGAGTCTGGGATTGGGGTCTGACCACATCAAAGGATGAGGTAAAATACCAGGACCTTGGTTCAATGTGCAGCTCCGCTGCTTCCCATCTGTGTTCTTGGACAAAACCCTTCCCTCTCTCTGGGTCTCAGTTTCTTCATCTGTAAAATGAAGGGGGGAGGGGTCAGTTCACTGACTTCTCAGGGTCCTTCTTCCCTTAACTGTCACTGGTTCTAGGACACTCTGATTCTTACCTCTCACGTTCTCTCTTTCCACCACACTCAGCTAGCACAGTTCGTCAAACGAGTCCACCATCACATCCCATCTTTGGGGCTGTATGCCCATGGTGCTTAGGATGTAGTGCCTGCCCCATCTCCTGGGGAGCCACGCGGAGGCCACAGAGGTGACTTCTCTCTCTGGTCTGAATGTAAGGGAGTCCCTCCCTGCCACCCCCTTCCCACCCCACCCCCCCAAGTGACCAATCAGCAAGCTGAGCAAGGTCAAGATTAGACCTTGGCTGGGAAGGCGAATGAGGTGCCCTCTGCTACGGGAAATGGATGACTGAGTCAGGAGAAACTGCTCCTCTGAGTCAGGACAGAGGGTGGGGCCAAGAACCAACCTAGGAAGACTGCCCATTTGTCAAGAGTCAACATTGACATCGGTGCAAAGGCATGGGACTATGTAATCTTACTACAGTAATCACAGAATATTGGAGTTAGAAGTGGCTTTCAAAGTAATAATAACAACAATAAGCAGGAAGGCAGGCTGGAAGGGGAGCACTAGAATCAGGAAGACCTGGGTTCAAATCTTGCGATCTTGCGTCTGACAACATACTGGTTGTGGGGTCAAGTCTGATTATAGATCACTTAACCTCTTACTACCCTTTATTTAGGTCCAAAATGAGGATTCTTGTCATTGACCTGCTAGAGAAAGGGTAGACATGCTTCATTCTAACATAGTATGGGTGTGTGTGTGTGTGTGTGTGTGTGTGTGTGTGTGTGTGTGTGTGTGTGTGTAGGCTGCACATCAGGCCACACTAGAGCCTTGTGGGAGGGGTCTACACCTTGGTAGATGGTAGAAGTGGAGGAAAGGTCTGTTGATCTTAGAGAACAAATCTCAGCCACGGTCCCAGATAGAGAATTATCCCTGACCTCCTGGGCAGACATCCAACCCCAGTGGAATGGGTCCAACCCCTGTTCACTTCCTGTGCCTGAGATGTCAGAGTACAGGCTGTGGAGGGGACCTGGCCCTGGCCTGGAAGTCAAGAGACAGGGAAAGGGGTGGGGTGGGGAGAGTCTGGCTTTTACTCCTCATCTGCTATGTGACCCTGCACAGGCAAATCTGTGCTTCTCCATGGCCCAGCTTCCCCATCATCAAATGGGAAGAATGACCTACCTTGAATGGATGAAGGAAAGAATGAATGAATAATACTTTTAAAATTCATTCATTTATTTATTCACTTTCTCTACCATCAAATGAAGATGATAACCTTGTGGCCAAATGAATGAAAGAATAGATGAATGAATGAATGCTTTTTCATTCATTTATTCAATTTCTTCATTATCAAATGAGGATAATAATCCTCACCCTGAATTAATAAATAACTTATTTTTCATTCATTCATTCATTCATTCATTCATTCATTCATTCATTCATTCATTCATCCATTCACAGCCACCACCAGGCCCATACTTAAAACCTTTCCAGCTGAGGTTTGTGGTCTACTGGTCAAGCCTTTGAGAACCCAGGGTCGCCTCCATACCATGATGAGATATTAGACGAGGAGTTTAGAAAGGGTTGAAGGACTACAACTCCCACTCCCTCCTCAACTACCTTGCAAAGACCCCCATGATATGAAGGAATTCTACCATTAGAGATTCATTTCTTTAGGTTAAAATATATATATATAAAGATCCCACGGGATGGGAAAGCATAGAGAGCTATGATCTTCATTGGTGAAGGGAAGACCCATGAGTTCACAAAATATTATTAATGGGAGCATGGCTTTAGAACAAAACAGTGTTAATAACTATTGTTCCTATTTCTAGAGTGTTTCCCAGTTTACAAAATCCTTTCCTCACAACACCCCTGTTAAGGCATTTGATTTAACCCAAATGCCACCTCTTCTATAAAACCTACTCTGATCAATCAGTCAATCAGATTTAGAGGTAAAAGGGAAGAGAAGGGAGGGAGAAAGGAAGGAAGGGAAAGGAAGAGAAGGAGGGAGGAAAGGAGAGGAGATGGAGGAGAAGGAGGAAGGAAGGGAGAGAGGGGAGGAGAGAGGAAGGAAGGAAGCATTTATTAAGTGCCTATGTGCTGGACACTGTGCTAAGTGCTTTACAAATATTATCCCATTTGATCCTCATGACAACCTTGGGAGGTAAGTGCTGTTATGATGCCCATTTTACAGTGAAGTAAACTGAGGCAGACAGATGGTTTTTGTTGTTGTTTGGTTTGTTTTTTTTTTTGTACTGCATAGTGAATGTGAGGAACAGTGAGGTCAGCTGGGCTGGAGCACATCTAATAATGCCATGCTCTACCTATTTGTAATGAATTATCCCCTAAGCGAGGCCTGGAAGAAAGTAACACCACAGACCAGTTTAGAAGTTAAACAACATCTGGTGTTGGGCTAACAGTTTTAATTTTATTTATGTGTTTCATTAATTTATACTTACACAATACACAGAACACTAGACTTGGAGTCAGAAAGACCTGAATTTAAATCTAGCTTCAGACACTTCCTTAGCTGTGTGACCCTACACAAGTCACTTCTGCTCTTCCAGCATCAGTATCCTCATCTGTAAAATGGGGAGAACAATATCTCCTACGTCCTAGAATTGTTCTGAGGATTAAACAAGATCACATCTGTAAAGTTCTCTGCAAACCTTAAAGTGCAACATAAATGCTAGCTATTTCTGAACATAGTCTCTTTTTCCTTGTAAATACAACACACTCTCATGATATGGAGTATTAGTGAGAGGAAGGAAAGGAGAAGGGAAACAGGGACCGTTTGCCAGACTCCTGAGTATCCAGTGGGAGCCAAGAGTAATTAGGGATGGGGGTCAGCAGATCTCTGAGCTCAAGAGTCACAAAGACTCAGAGACAAAGAATTCAGGAAGCCTCAGATTAGATCAAGTTCAAGGCAAGTTTAGAAAGCAATGGAAGGTAAGAGCCTTGGGGCCATGGGCCGAGGTCCAGAGAGGAGCCAGGGCCCTGGAAGCTGCCTGGTCACTCAGGCTTGAGGTGCAGCACTGCTTTCTCACACTGTCCACTCCCTGTCTTATTCATAACCACAGATATCCCAATTATAAAAACAACTGATTTGAGAAGGCCAGGGCATGTAGCAGGAAGAACCCAGTAAGCAACGTAAACATTTACACCAGCCGTGCAAGCCAGGAGACCTGGGGTCTAGCCCTGGCTCTGTCACTCATAGGCTATGGGACATCAAGTCTCTTCCTCTCAGTTTCCCCATGTGACTTTAAATAATCCCTCAGGGCTCTTTGGGGCAGCTAGGTGGCGCCATAGAGCACGGAGCACCAGACCTGGAGACAGGAAGACTGAAGTTCAAATCTGGCCTCAGACACTTACTAGCTGTGTGACCCTGAGTAAATCACATCACCCTGTTTGCCTCAATTTCCTCATCCACAAAATGAGCTAGAGAAAGAAACCACAAACCACTCCAGTGTCTTTGTCAAGAAAACCCTAAATGGGGTCACAAGAATCAGAAACAACTGAATAACAACAATAGGAATCTTTAAAATTACCACATACAATATTGTCTTCCCTGTCTCTGCCCTGGCTGTCTCCCAAGCCTGGAATGTCCTCTCTCCTTCTCTTTGCCTTTTGGAATCCTCTGCCACCTCCTAGGTGAGCCTTCTCCCGATCCCCTCTGGTGTCAGTGCTATCCTCAACCCATCCTAAATCACAGTTATCCCTTCTACATCATGACCTTTCCCATCCCAGTTTCAATATATTATGGATCAGCACAAGAAATTAAATGGGAATTTTGGGGGAGTTTTGTGGAAGCTACAGATGACATGTGAAAGAAAGCAGACAACAGAGAAAAAGTTCAGAAACTCAGAAATACATGAAATATATTTATAGTATATAATATCAACCCAAATTTTACAAGAAGGTACTGTAAACACCCCATAAAGAAAAAGAAAAGATACAGATCTTTTCTTTATGAAGGGAAGGCCAAAAATTCTTCCAGCTCTCTGGAGACACCACCTCCCTAACCCACATGATGAGGAAGGCATCACTGTACTTTGCAGTTGCTTATTTTAGTGGTCACTTTTCCCTCAATGCGTTGTTTCTGCCCAGGAGAATGTAAGCTCGTTGATGGTGGGGCTTTTGGCTTTGGCTTCATTTCTCCAGGGGGCAGTGCTACTTAGCAGATAGCAAGCTGGCCTGCAAGCTAGGAAGAGCCACATTCAAGTTCTGCCTTTGACACAGAATGGCTGGGTGACCCTGGGCAAGTCACTTACCTTCTCCAAGCTCTGGACAACTCTCCAAGACTGCAAATTGCCGAGAAGATGGTGACCTGCATTGGCAGAGGGAGTTTCTCACTTGGGAGTTTTCTCTACCAATAAAAGTCGTGACTCCCTTTGTAGATACAGTGAGGGCACAATGTCTGGCACTCACTTAAGAAATGACTGTTGAGGTTACCTGGGTGGCGCAGTGGAAAGAGCACCGGCCCCGAAGTCAGGAAGACCCGAGTTCAAATCTGGCCTCAGACCAAACACTTGACTCTTACTAGCTGTGTGACCCTGGGCAAGTCACTTAACCCCAACTGCCAACAAAACAAAAAGAAGAAGAAAAAGAAATGGCCATTGAAGAGAACTGAACTGAATTTGATCCTGAGGTTCCTGCCCTCATGTTGTTACTGTGATACATAGGGGTGTTTGCTGTTGTCTGTATTGCTCTGGGGAAGGTTGTAGGTCATATTCAACAAGTATACAGTGGTGCCTTCTATGTACATAGCATTGTGCTAGGCACTCTGGGTTCCTGCTACTCCAAACTCCTTCTCTAACCCTCTCCTCTCCTCCCTTGTCACTGTAATACATTGGGTGTTTGCTGTTGTTCCAATTGTGCGGGGCTAGGTTGTAGGTCATATTCAACCAACAGGTATACAGTGGTTCCTACTATGTGCACTGCATCA